TCATTTTTTTGTAAGGCTAGTTTAGTGGTGGCGAACTCCTTTAGATTTGTCTAGAAAACTAACTCTCTCTTTCAATTCTGATTGAGAGCTTTGCCAAATAGCATATTCTTATTTGGAATTATTTTTCATGCAGCACTTTGAATATATTGTGCCACTCTCTGGCCTACAAAGTTTTCTGCTGAATATTCTGCTGCTGGTATGGGGCGAGGTGGAGGAGGGGAAGGTCTCTTGTACACAAGAAGTTGTTCTTCTCTTGTTGCTTTTCAGGTTCTATCCTTTAAAGTGTCTTTAATTTTTGACACTCTATAATGTGTCATCGTGCGGGTTTTTTGAATTCCTCGTATTTGGATCTTTAGGCTTCATGTCTCTAGATATGTTTCCTTCTCCATTTTAGGGGGTGGTTTCAGCCATTAGTTCTTCAAATAAGTTCTCTACCCATTTCTCTCTTTCTGCTCTTTCTGGAACCATGGTAATGCAAGTGATTATCTGGTTAATGTTATGCCATAATGTCCTTAAACTATTTTCAGTTTTCATTCAGGTGCTCTAATTGGGTTAGTTCCACTGCCCTGTATACAAGTTGACTTATCCTTTCTTCTGCTTTATCTAATCTGTTATTGAACCCCTCTTGTGTTTTGTTGTTGTTAGTTAAGTTACTGTATTCTTTAGGTCTGTAACTACTGTTTGGTTCTTTTTTATATTTTCCATCTCTTCTTTGAAGTTCTCACTGTGTTCGTTTGTTCATTCTTCTGTTGAGTTCAGAGAGCATCTTTATCATCATTATTTTGAACTCTTGTCAGGCAAATCACTTATCTCCATATCATTAATGAATATTTCTGGAGTTTAACTTGTTCTTTAGTTTGGAACATTATCTTTTGTTTCTTCATGTTGTTTGAGACTGTGTGTTAGTTTCTGTGAGTTAGATAAAATAGCCACCTCTCCCATTCTTGAAATAGTGGCCTTGTGTAGAAGAACCTTATTGTGCAATCCTGCCCTAGTTCTTTGTTGTCTCTGAAACTTTTGTGATTGTCCAAGTAGACTTTTTTACTTTTAATGGCTCCATGTTGAGGGTGTGCCAAGACCCGTCACTGTCACAGAGGGGAGCATCTCAGCATGTAGATTCAGGCTGATTAAAGGGCAGACCCTTGGGCAGCAGCTTTTAAATTATGCATATACAGTCCTTTGGGACTGCAAGCGCAATCCCACCAGATCTAAATGATTTGGAGGTGTCCCCTGGGCAGCAGTCACAAAAATCCAGGCACCAGATTAATGCATACACATCTTTATGGGAAATACCAGCAAGCTTGAGTGAGGCAGAGGGAGAGCACAAAAATAGTGTCCACCAGCCTATGTCCTTGAAAGGACCTCGAAAGGCCCCTGGCTGTGCTCCAGTCCTGAAGCCTGCCAGTCAGGCTGAAGCTCCAGTACAAACAAATAGGCCTCTTTCATGGAAAGACAGGGATGTGTGTCAGTCTGCTGTATGTGCAGTGCTCTGGGTGTGGTAGCCTGCCAAAAACTGTCTCTCCAATTGTTATATCCCTGTGGGACCTAGGAATGCAAACTCCCTGGCCACCAGAGTCAGGCAGTCAACAGACATTCCCTCAGCAACAGCCACAGGAACCATGGCTATAAAAACTGGGGCACCATATGTATGTAAAAGCTCCCCTCTTAGAGATAGTGGTACTATGGAGCACATCAGAGAGAGGGTGAAGATAATGCCCACCCTCCCATGCCATGGAAAGGATCACAGTCAGCTCTTAGATGTGTATTAATTAGAAGCCTGGCCCTCTGCCTGCAGGTATGACAAAAAACCTAATAGGAGCGCAGCCTTTCTGTGAAAGAAACCTCTTTCTCTTGCCCCTTGCTGTGGTCTGGGGACAGTAGCCCTTTAAGAACTCTCTTTCTGTGGTTATAGACCTTTGGAACCTGTAAGAATAAACCCCGCTGGCCACTTTAGCCAGACAATCTAGAGATGTCCCTGGCAGCAGCTGCAAAAATCAAAACATCAGACAAGGGTATAAGCTTTTTTTCTGGGAGATACCAGCAAGCTGGAGCATGGCAGCAGGGAGCTCAGCGATTGCATCCACCAGCCTCCACTGCCTGACAACACTTCATAGGTTCCTAGATGTGTGCCAAACCACAGGCCTGCACCTCAGCCCAACCTCCTTGGACAAACAAATAGGCCTCTTTCACGGAAAGCCGGGGGATGTTTCAGCCTATTCTCTGTGCAGTGCCTGAGTGTGGTAGCCTGCAAGAACTTGCTCCAATTGTTGCATCTCATGGGGCCCAGGAACACAGGCCCCCCCAACCTCTAGAGCCAGGCAATCAAGGGGCATCTCCTGGGTGGCAGCACCAAAGTATAGCACCAGAAGTAAAACCTGGAGCTTCAGATGTATGTAAAAGCTCCCCTTTGGAAGATGCTGTACTCTGAAGGGAGGCATAGGGAGTGGCCTCCACTGGCTGGAGCAAGGGAGAGTGAAAGTATAAAGGTGGTTGGTACCTGTTAACCTCCATCCCTGGAGAGTATCCCAGCACGCCCTAGATGTGTGTTAAATTAGATGCCTGCCCCTTAAGCCAAGGCTTTTAACAAGGACATAGCCTCTTTCACAAAAAGTCTGGGCACTTCTATCAGCTACTTCTGCACTGGGCCCTGCTGCAGGTAGCTTGGTGAGCTGATGAGCTCTTCAAGAGCTGTTTCTCATATCACTAGAATCTTGTTTGGTCTCATGAATGTGAGCCCCATTGGTTTTCAGAGCTAGATGTTTTGGGGAGTCACCTCTCAGTTTCAGGTCTTAAAATGTAGGGTTCAAACTCTTCACTCCCCAGGAAAGAGCTCGAGGTTTTGAGTTCTCTCCCAATTGTGGGTCACCATCCCAGGGGTGGGATTTATAGCAAGTGTGTTTCAGTTTCTCCTACCTGCTTAGATGTGGGTTTGTTCTTGTTTTCCCAGTATGTGGGAGTCCTCAACTAGTTCTTGGGGGGCGGGGGATTAAGAGAATATTCTTCCTTTATGTAACTGTATGTGTGTTTGTGGAAAGAGTAGTAAGTTCAAGATCTTCCTACGTCGCCACCTTGAACTAGAACTCCTCCCATGTTCACTACAGCATTATTCTCAATAACCAGGCTATGGTATCAACCTAACCTAAATGTCAGTCAATGGATAAATGAGTAAAGAAAATGTGATATGTATATGCACAGATACAATCAATATTATTCGGCCTTTAAAAAGAAGGAAACCTTCTCACTTGCAACAACATGGAGAACCTGGAATACATCATACTAAGTGAAATAAGTCAGACATAGAAGGATAAGTACTGCATGATCTCACTTATATGTGAAATCTAAAAGTCAAACTTCAGAAGCAGAGAGTAGAATGGTGGTTACCAGAGCGGTGTGAGTGACATAGGGAGATAACTGGTCAACAGGTGCAAAGAGGCAGTTGTGTAGGTTGAGTAAGTCTAGAGCTCCAATGCACAGTATGACTCTAGTTAATAATACTATATTAAATACTGGAAATTAGCTAATGGTGACTTTGTGAGGAGATATGTTAAGTGGCTTTACTGTAGTAATTGTTTCACTATGTGTATCAAATTACCTCTTTGTACACCTTAAACACATACAGTTTTTATTTAAATGTTAAAAAAGAAAAATTTAAATAAAATTAGCCACAATGAAAAGTAAAAATATAAAATTAATTATATATCTTATTTAAGCCATTATATCTAAAATGTTATTTCAAGATGTAATTAATATAAAAATATTATTTTTTACTTTTTTCATACTCAGTCTTTAAAATCTGTGGTGTATTTCCACTTAAAGACATCTCAAATTGAACTAGCCACATGTGTCTAGTGGCTACCCTATTGGATTGTACAGACTTGAATAACAGGAGTTCCAGAAAAACAGAATGGATAAAGAGAAAGAGGCAGGAAAGAAAAAAATAATAAGAAAATTTCCAAGAACTTAAAGGATTCCAAGTTTAGCAGGCTCCCAGAGAGCCCAGCAAAATAGATGAATTAGATCCAGATGAAGACACTTCATAACATTTCAAAATACCAGTGATTCAGAGAAACCTCTACAGGCTTCAGAGAAAATGAAAAAATTAGAAGACAGGTTACAAAGGATCAAGTACCAACATAACTTTAGACTTCTCAACAATAATGGATAGATAGAAGACAGTGGATCAGTGCCTTTAAAATTCTCAAGGAAAAGCACCCTCAGGCTGTAATTCTATAACTAGCCAAAATACCAAACAAGTTAAGGGGAAAATAAAAGGTATTTTCAACTATTCAAGGTCTCAAAAAATTTACATGCCATGCTACTGAAGAATGTGTTACACCAAACATGGAAGTAAACCAAGAATGAGGAAAATGTGAGATAAAAGAAACAGGAGAAAGATGAAAGGAGTCCTTAGGATGAAACTATGAATCAGGCCTAGAGATCAACCAGTTCAGGTTAGAGTAGGTCAGAAGGAACCAAGAAAGACTTCATCAAGAAAAGCCAATTAATACCTGACAGAATTAATACGGATGTAGAAAACTGGCAGAGATTTTTGGGTTAAATTAGTAATGCATACCCAGAAAACTAAGCAAGTAAGGGATAAAAATATAAACTTAATAATCTATATTACTGAACATAGAGAATTTATAAGAGGTTGGGAAAGGCATGTAGGTAAAGTGGAATGAGTAGTAAAAGAGCTAAAACCTCACCTTTCATACTGTGACATACACTGTTCTAAGAAATGTAAAAAAGGAGCAATATAGGCATCTTATCTGAAAATATAAAGATAAAAACCAAAATAATCAGGTGTAGAATGGCTGGTTCTGGAGAAGGGGAAATAAAGGAAAGAAGGGGTCTGCATTTCTTCTTGCAAATTTTATAAAACTATGTCTAAGCCTAAAGTATACACACATTTTTATTTAAAAAGAAACATGGTCAATAACAAATCTAAATGAATAAAGGACTTTTACCAGCCATTGCTGATGAGTGTTCCTGTTTCCTAGCATTGAGTATTGGTTCCGCTGCATGGATGTGGATGGGGATGGTGTGCTCTCCATGTACGAGCTGGAGTATTTCTACGAGGAGCAGTGCGAACGGATGGAAGCTATGGGCATTGAGCCCTTGCCGTTCCATGATTTGCTGTGCCAGATGCTTGACCTGGTGAAGCCAGCCAGTGATGGTAAGATTGAGTGATGGGCCATTTTCACTGCTCACCTGTGTAACAGTGGGGCACATAATCCGGTTTGTCCTAAATTATTTAACTGTACAGAGCCCTCCATATAGGCTTCCCAAATACAGAAGTATTGAAGTTTCTCCTTTACTTTTAGTGTGGAACCAACAACTGATGGCAAATCTTGTTTAAGAAATGGGATTTTTCCATAGAAACAGAAAGCAATTAGTGATTGCACGGGGCTGGGGAGGGGTCAGGTAAAGAGAGATGGGGGTGGGACTGCTTGATGAGTGAGAACACAGTTCCTTGTTGACAGGTAAATAAAATGTTAAGGAAATCAATAGTGGTGATGGTTGTACAACACTGTGAATGTACTAAAAGCCACTGAATTATACACTTTGGAATGGTTAAAATGGTGAACTTTATGTTATGTGAATTTTACCTCAAAAAAAATAAAAGAAATGGGATATTTATAATAAAATAAATGTATGCATATACTTTTTAAACTTCAGTAGAAGTTTTTTTCATTTGCCAAAACAGCTCTTAGAATTTACCAGCTTTGTTTTTACACAGGCAAAATAACTCTACGAGATCTGAAGAGATGCAGAATGGCTCACATCTTTTATGACACTTTCTTTAATCTGGAGAAATACTTAGACCATGAACAGAGAGATCCCTTTGCAATCCAAAAGGTACCAGTATAGTTTTAAGTTCTGTTTGAGGGTTGCGGTATCAGGGTCTAGGTGCTACAGGTCAGAATGGTTTCTGTCTGCAGGAATCATGATACTTAAAGAGGTAACCTTTAAAACATTTCATCACATACTGAAAAGAGAATAAAGGACCTAGAGCACATCTTTCCTGACTGTTAGTCAAGTTTAGGTAACCTGCATTTGCCTATCAGAGTGAATTGTATTGCCTGTGTGTACTTACATATACTTTAGAGACTAGTTATAAAAAATTTTTTTGAAAAAAACTTCTAACTTAAAAAATATATCAAGGGCACATCTGTATTAGAAAGTATGTTTGGTTTGATTTAATTGTATCATTCATTTCCGGGATGACATGGAAAATAGCTTTCCCCATCATAATGAAAACTAGAAGCTCTCTATGATAGATAGCCTTCAAATAATGTAACACTTTTTCAAGTGTTAATGATTGTTGTTCATGACTATCAGTTTGAAATCATTCCACACCTGAATGATTTCCACACAGCCTTTTCTTTCCACATGTTACATAACTTTTTGACCTAAATAGTAGTAAGAAGACGAAGATCACCTCCTAAAAACAAATATTCTTTGCCAATTATAAATCTAAGATACATGCCAATTTTACAGATGTTAAAAGGGTAGGGCTGAGGTTCTAAAAATGGGTTAAGTATAGTAATTAACACATTGTGTGTAAAATTCTTAAGTACTTGCATTCTTTTAGACGTAACTAACATTGCACCATAGGAAAATGCTAACTCATTTTCATTATGGAAAAACATATTTTACCTGGAATATATAATCCAAGCTGCTGTCCATATTGTAGAAGGGAAAGAAAATATATGGCCTTTTCTCTCTTTATTTCTTGTATTTGTGTTATACATTTTACTTTTAAATGTATACCTTTAAATTTTACTTTTCTTTATAAGAGGTAGTAGTTATTGATATTTGTTCTGATCTGCAAAAAAAAAAAAAAAAAAGATTAGTCAGAAAGTGCTCAAAAAATTCCAGGCACTCTGTTGAAGAGACACTGGTTATAGAAAGATGAAAAAGACTCAGTATATAAAGAATGGGTATATAGAGATGAAAAAGAGCCAAAGGTGGCAACCAAACATATACAGTATAGCAAAGGAAATGATTTGAGGGAGAGGGCTGTTTCCAGAAAGACAGCACAGATGACATGGTGTCTTACCTGGCTTTTAAAGCAGCAGTAAAAATTTGCCAGGGGAAGGAAGGAATGGTATATTCCAGGTGAGCATATGCAACCCACAAGTCACTCCAGATAGATGCTGGGCAAAGTGCAAGCAAAGAAGGGACTAGCGAAAGGTCTCCAATTGCAGAGCTAAAGAATCTAGCTGCTGGAAAGTTCATTATAAATTTTGCGATTGGAAAATCACTTTAGGAATGTTACTTTAGCATTTCTTCTAACATACGGAAATGAAACTTTTTCAGATAGGTTTTTTTCAGGGATCTATAATATTTGTGGTGACCTATTCTCCAGTTCTTTGTCTTTGATTATTTTTATTTCCTCTGACTACTTTTTCCAATCAGGATGTGGAGAATGACGTTCCTGAGCCCTCCGACTGGGACAGGTTTGCTGCTGAGGAGTATGAGACTCTTGTAGCGGAGGAGTCTGCCCAAGCACAGTTCCAGGAAGGGTGAGTGACTCTCCCTGTGTCTCTTAGAACTTTTTTAGCAGGGGTACATATCAGGAATATTAAAACCACCTTAAAAAATCAAGCTAATAATCCTTTCCTTTTTTTGCTGGTTTTGGATATTATAAAAATAAGCGATTTTGAACAGTTTTGGTTGAATGAATATTTTCCCCAGCAGTCTTTCTCTTCCCTTCTTAACTAATTTCCTGAAGAGTCTTCTCATGTCCCACTTCCTTTAACACAGTAGTACCTTTCGTTATATAGTAAAACTACTTTGTTAGTGATGTAAGAAAACTCTGTAAATACAGAAGGCGGCCAAAAGAACTGAAGTTTTTTTAAGTAATAAAGATAATCATATTTAAAACAAATCTTTATCATACATGGTGTTCTGCATTCAACCCTGAACAGGAAGTGACTTCTACATAGAATTTATTATAGTGTATAATTCCATAAAAGGACCATGGTAAGAAATTAAATTATGAGGCTTTCATTGCTTAGAACATTTCAGTAACTTTATAATTTCTAGGCTCTTTCCATCATCTAGCAATTCCTTTACCAGTTTCTATAATTCTTCCTTAGTCATTGTTTCTCTAAGGCTTTCAGCTAATACTTATTATTAATATAATGCATTTTTGACTAGGCAATACATTCATATATTTAATATTCAAAGAAAGAGAAGAATAGTCAAAAGTTTCCTACTACTCAGTTTTCCTCCCTTGAAGCAACCACTGTTATCATTTCTTGTATACCCTTCCAAAGACACTCTCTTCCTCACACTCTCACATATATTTACACATATGGAGAGATATATACACATAGACATGTATACACACACATGCACACAAATACACATATACATTATTTTTTTTCTTACACATATGGTCACATACTACATTCATTGCTTGTTAACTTGCCTTTTCAGGACTTGTATAGTTTTTGTTATACCAGTTATACCAAATGAGTAAGTTCTAGAGATCTGCTGTACAACATAGTTACCTACAGTTAAAAATATGGTTTTGTACACTTATATGTTAAGAATTCAGACCTCATGTTAACTATTCCTACAGAAAACACACACACATGAAATATGGGGAAATTTTTGGAGGTGATGGATATGCTTAGTGCCTTGGTTGTAGTAATGATATCACAGGTGTATACATATGTCCAAACTCATCAAGAGGTATTCATTAAATGTGTAAAATATTTTGTATATCAAGTAAACTTCAATAAAGCTAAAAACAAGAGCAGCAAAGATTAAAAGAACACCATGGTAAACCAAACATTTGTATTTTATGATCACTGTGGCATAAATGGTCTCCACAAATATTTTGGGGCCTTGAGTACATGAGGAATAAATTAATGAAAGAGTAACTGAAGGTTGGGGAGAAAAACAAATTAATAAAATTGGAGACTGTTCCATAGACATAGCTAATGAATATTTCAAGTTTTTTACAGCTGCATAGTACTACACTGTCGTCTTATACCATTATTTTACAGTCCTTTGTATGTGGACATTATATTTCTAATAGTTCACTTTAGAAATATAGTGTTGCAATGAATAATTTTATATATGTGTGTTTTTATACACATGTAGGAAATTTCTGAGTGTGCAACAAACATAGCATGCTTGCAAAGACAGGAAGATTTAAGAAAAACCAACAAACAATGATACACATCCAAAACTAGCAACAATGGGCAGCCATTTCTATACCTAGTCCAAAAGGACAAGGAGATGAACTCATCACCAGAACTCAGAGATAGTAGAGTTCTACTCTATTATAGAGAGGGTCCCCTGCAGGACTTGTGACCTTCAGTAATGGTATTTAGCCAGCATATGGCACCCAGCTAAGAGACAGCTGCTTAAACAAATATCCAATTTCATTCTCTTCATATTCCTGCTGGCATTCTCCATTGACTTCCAACCAGAAACCAAAAGATAAGAGAACCCACTGATGTGGTCCATTTGGGTATGCCTCCTCAGGCACAGAGCTAGGGGAAGAGTAGATCTAGAGGGGTAAACAGAAAATATCCAGGTCAGTAGGTAAGGTCAAATAGTCCTCCACAGAGACCTATCATTTTTTACCTCTACCATTAAATCTTTAATATCTTTTTTGAGAGTACTGAAAAAGCCATCACCAAACTACTTTCTTTAATGTGGAAATTTCCTTAATAGGCTTAGTCACAAAACTGGGCTCTCATTTTTTATGATTAAGACCTGGAAACCCTTAAAATCATTCATCATTCATTGATTTTATCATGAGCCTGACTACATGAGAAGAAAAGACTGACAAGTGGATTCATAAGCATGATTTAAAGTTTTTTGGCATTGAGCCCCCTTAGGAAGAATTAGGGAAAGTTTACTGATCTTACTAAGCAGCATCACTGCTGTTAAGAACATGTATGGGTGGATGTTTGTAATAGTGAAAAATTTGAGACAATCTAAGTATCTAACAGGAAGATTAATAAAATTATCCTATATATATACAGTGTAATCCCATGTAACCATTAAAAATCATCATGGGGAGGTATATTGCTTCACTATCATAAAGAATAACTATGGGCACGGAAGAAGGCTTTGAAAGATCAAGTAAAATGAGGCCTAGCCAGGTAACTCAGTTGGTTAGAACATCATTCCTGATAGGCCAAGGTTGTAGATTTGATCCTTAGGGCACAGACAAGAAACAACCAAAGAATACATAAATAAGTGCAACAACAAATCAATGTCTGTCTGCCTGTCTCTCTCTCCCCCCCCTTGCTTTTGATTCAATAAAAAAGATCAAGTAAAATGGAATAGAAAAGAACAAAGTTAGGTATATATAAGAAAAACTAAGGGATCTAACTTATATGTATTAGATGGAGCAAATAGGATAGGAAAAATTCAAAGATAATAGAAAAGTTCTTTTGAAATAAAAGAAGACCTGAAACTAAAAGGTCAGATTCTGTTATACAAGATGGATATATCTAGGAAATGCTGATAATGATTGACCCAAGATGTGCTGTGTATTTGCCAGAATTCAAAGATAAATAAAAGTTTATTTGGGGAGGGGGTCCATTTTTCAAAGTGCAAGTCACCAGACAAGGGAGAGTATCAGTCTTGTCTCAGATACCTCCACAGTAAAAATGAATACTGGAAGACCATGAAACAATATTTACAACTTTCTCAGAGAAAGTCTATACCCAATAAATCTACACTAACCCAAAATGACATTCAAGCATGGAAACTCAAATGGATATTTACAAACATTTAATAACTGGAGGGAATATAGCACCTGAAGCTTTTCTTTAAAAACAACATAATCATAAAACCAAAAGACAAACCAAAATAAAGAACCCAGAAATACAACAGCCATGGTGGAAAAGAAATAACAGTATGACATTAGCATCATGGCAGAATGGTAAGATTACTTTGTTTCTCCCCTTAAATTTACAAATCAGACAACTATAACTCAACAAAGGATCCCCTGCACAACACAAAAATACCTGAAAGGTTCACTCAATGGTACATCTGAAAGTGTGCCTATTGGAATGAGTAGGGGAGGCTGGACAAGGAGAAAGGGACAAGAATGATGGCTGCAGACATAGTTGGGTGCCCACTGCAGCTACAGCAAGCATGGTAAGCTGTGGAGAAGTCGAGCTGCAGCCCTCACACTATGGCCTAGGGTGTAACAAGTTCAGAAGCAGTGTTCCTCTGAGAAAAGGCATCTCCCTTCCTCGCCATTATGACAGACCCTAGTAGAGATGCCAACAGCCGTTGCTGATGGGGGCGGAGCCACAAGATTGCAAAATTTCATCCCTTGTCCCACTCATTCTGTCAGAGCCTGGTAAAGGCAGTGCAGATGCCTCCAAAAACACAGCTGCACCAGTGACCCAAACAGAAAACAGCACTGGAAGCTCACAAAACCAGTTCTCCATCAACTGCCATATTACCACCACCACAGTGGTGGTACCCGATAACCCAGGGAAGCCAGTCACAGGGAACTCGCATTATCCCAGTGCATACATTGCATTTTCCATAACTGAAACAGTGCCACTCCACTGTGAGATCAGAGGCACAAATAGGGCAGGGCAGAGAAAACAAAAACTTGTGCTATAACACCATCTACTGGGAAGAAATGTACCCTGCCTATCAACCTACTGAACTGTTGGGAGCAAAACAGTATCTAAACAAGGAAATAGCTAAATAGCTCAAATGTGTCAGAGAAACAATCCATCACATACCACAAACAACCAAGGTAACATGGGAGCACTGAAAGAAAATGAGAGGTCTCTAGAAACCAAACTCGAAGTCATGGAAGATTGTCACTTAAATGATACAGAATTTAAGATGGCAGTTGTGAAAAAACTCAGTGAAATACAAGAGAACTCAGAAAGGCAGTTCGATGAATTCACGAATAAAATTAATGAACATAAGTAGTACTTTACCAAACAGAATAAAACTATCAAAAAGAACCAAATAGAAAATCTGGAGCTGAAGAACTTAATGAGATGAGGAGTGCAATGCAAAGCTTTGGAAATAGAGCAGACCAGATGGAAGAGAGAATTAGCAAGCTCAAAGACAGAAACCTAAGAAAAGACCCAGGAGGAAGGAAAGTTTTTAAAAATGAGAGAACTATTCTGACTCTATTAGAAAGAGGAACATAGGGACAATGGCTATACCAGTAGAAGAAGAAGAAGGGATCAAAGACTCTACTCAAAGAAATAATTGAGAACTTCACAAGTCTATGAAAAGAACTGGACTTTAGAATAAAGGAAGCTAACAGAACTAATTATATCAACACAGAAAGCTCTTCTCCAAGACATATTTTATTCAAATTGTCAAAAATTAATGACAAAGGATTCTCAAGGCAACCAAAGGAAACCCCATTAGATTATCATCAGATATTTCAGTGGGAACATTACAAACCAGGAGAGAGTAGAAGGAAATATTCAAAATATTGAAAGGAACTATCAGCCAAGGATAATATATCCAGCAAAGTTATCCGTTAGCTATGGTGGGATTGCGG